GCCCTTCCACAAATAAGATCCACTTCTTATTTGTGGAAGGGCGAAATGGGCGGTGACTATTAGACGCCTTCATTATAGCCATCCTTGTCTATCACATGGATTTCTATGGCTTACTTTATCGCTCTCACGTAACTTCTGATAGACCATCGGTACTTTCCTACACTGTATATTTAACCGTTTTCGAGATAATCGACATTTTATAAAAATTTTGACAGATGCAAGCGTTTCAAAAATTCCTTATATCTTTCTTCGCTCGTGAATCTTTCACTTTCATAATATATTTTAGTGTAGAAATTTTGTAAAACTATCTACAATGCTAGAGATAGAACTTATTTTTTGTATATCATAAATTTATTTTGAATTTTGTGAAGCAGATTAATGTGTAAATAATGTTGGGGAATGCCTTGTTGTTCTGATATCATTAAGTTATTTAATGCAAAGTCTGAAATAGCTTCTGCCTCTAATTCTGAAGGTTCTTAAATCATTTTGTTCCACACAATAGATTTTACTAAATCCAATTAAAAAGGGATAATTGTATTTGTTGTGGACTGTGCCTCTACTAGGTCTTATCTCTCCCGGTAAATCGTTTTAGTGTCCCTATGTAAATAGGCAACCCTTAATTTAGTTTCCATTCTGGTCATAAAATAATTGAACAGTTGTTGATCATAAAATAGACATGTACATAATCAGAAACTCGTTTAGGAAATTGAGGTGATTTGATTAAATATGTAGTACAATAATGCTATAATAAACAGTTTAGTAGAATGTTTTGTTCGATAAAATAACATTTTAGTCAAAAATGTTCGTAAAAAACGCTGGTAGTTTCAGTTTTTCTTTACGTTCCATGGATCGGCAGCAGATCCAAAATAATTTTAAGTGTGTACTGTGTAGAGGTAATACGTCATGGCCAATTTTTTTAGCACGTTCCTGTACGTGACCAAAGCAACGTACGAATGGATAATACCAGAACACCAACTTATTGTCTATCTCCGAAATCGCCTCCAAAGCGGATTACTTTCGTTTTCTCGCAATGCGACTGCGGATAAAAAAATCACGCTTCTACCAGGACGCCTACTACCACCCGCGTCGCCTTTTACAATGTGTTTTCCAAACTTTATCGAATTATATAAGCGTTTCGTAACGCCGAGAACAAATCGCCATTGCCATACGCAGTAAACAACTGTTAATAGGGTCTTTGTTGTTGTTTACCAGTAAGCATTCGGAATAGGAAATTGATTTCAAAACGTTAACATCGAACTGTTTAGTAGAATACATCGATAAGTCGCCATCTATATTAGCATGTGCAACTGATTGCATTGCTTATGTAACCAAGGATTTTTTTATTGCAGATCAGGCAGTTTGGGATCGGCAAGGGCAGTCCTGGACATCGAGCAATCACCCATCGAGTGTGGCAGCGGCGAAATGGCAAGTTCTGACGTGGAGAACCTGGAGGAGGCCCGCAAGTTAGTTAGGGACCTTCGACAGAAGACTAGGGCACAGGCACAGCAGATAATGGCTTGGAGACGAGCATACAAGATGCAAGTAAGTCTACTTTCTAGAATTAAACCGAGTCGTTTGTTCTATTCTCATTCCTTTCTTCATTTGCTTTCTTATAACCGAAGTTTGACATTTGCTTGCGAAGAGGCTAGCGTCAGTAAGAAATTTAAAAACATTTTAATTGTAACTGATGTTTGCTGACTTTTGACGTTTGTAGGCCCTCAGGATCCAGAGGGCATTATGGTCGACGCCATTAAATGGGATAAATTAGGCAATTATCATTATTATTTATTACATTTACAACTTTTATTACCCTATTATAAGAGTTTCAGCAATAAATTGCCTCTTTTTAAGGCGTCGGTTAAGTATGTTGCCTTTCTTGGTTCGCTCCATTTGGTCCGTACGGTTCTGTTCGCACAAATAGGACGAGGTCTGTTGTGTGGCGGGACTGTGGCCCTTTAAAATCTAACGTCGTCAACTGTACTGCTCTCTGGCCGCGGGCGGCCTAACTTGCTCCGAAACGGTGGGCAATGTCAACAATGTGTGACATTGCCCACAGTTTTGGGGAAGTTAGGTCACCCGTAGATAGAGGGCAGCGCGGTTAACGTTGACAGGTCTATAGTAGGATCATATTCGATGCAAAGTAATAAATCATTGCCTGTCAAGGGAATCAGTGCAACACGTTTTAGGGGCTTTGGAAATTGAATAATTTCGTTATGCATTATGGATTAATAGTTATATATTTATTAAGGACAAAATGAAAAACAAAGGCATCTTCTTCGCATATTGGGCGGCAGAGCAACAATACATTTATTACTCCCTGCATCCTCCCTCATATGACTTGTGTCTTGTGTTTGTTGCGGCAGCGCGCGTGTCGGCCCGGCGTGGTCAGTTTCGTTTCGATTGTATTGGTGCTGCGTGTTTATCGCTCACGACATTTGTGAGGTTATAACTGTTATAAGTGCAATTATATTTCGTTCGGGCTGTATGTGTGTTTCGCAATATTATTTGAAAATTTGTGAGTGAAATCATATTTCTTGTGCTCCGTAACAAAAGTGTTTTTAGTGTTTTATTTGTGTGCTGTGTGTGTGTTTCGGGCTGTTGTTTGTGAATGCTATTATATTTTCTGTGCTAGTGAAGTGAAGTTGTTTGTATTATTATTGCTCTGTTGTCGTTATATGGAGAAATGGAGGCGGTGCCTGGATGTTCGCAAGCCGGATGTACTGCTGTGGGTACAAAAAAATCTGTATTAAGTTACAGAGAAAAAACGATAATATTAAATGTCTATAACCCTTTAGAAAAGGATCATCCCATGAAACTGAAGACTGGTTTGGTGGAAATGTGTTCTAGATATACTGGAGTAAGCGAATTATCTGTTTTCAAAATTTTAAGAGAGAAGAAAATTGAAGGAGACGTTAAGAAACCTAAAAAAGGGGGTGCAAAGAAGAAATTAATATTAAATGAAGATGAGAAAAATGCAGTTTGGCGTACAGTACATAAATCATAGAATTTATATTTTGTTTATAATTTGTTAACATTTCTTGTTTGATAGAAAAATAACTTATTTTGTTGAGATTGGTAGAGAATTGTTGTTAGTGTTTTCATTTGATAGAATCATATCATAGGATTTATATTTTGTTTTCATTCTGTAAATATTTATAGTATATCTGTTATACAAGGTTTTTGCTTTGAAACTTCGTTCTCCTTATAAAAAAAAGAATCGTAATGGGGTGCGATGAAGAGATCAGTTCACGTCTGGAACCCTGTTCCTACAAAAATCCCTTTATTCTCATAAACTATTTGTTTTAAATGTAATTTATTATAAATCCAATTCGTTATTTAAATTCCACATATGTACTACATTTCACCTCTGTACGCGCCACTGTTTATTGTTCCCTGC